TATTTCTCTATTTTATTGCTTGGGCCTCATCTCTTGACCTTTTTCCATACAGTACATGTTCCAGGGGTGCCACGCCTGTGCATCCCAGCAACATAGCCACTCTTCTGTGTCTACGTCGTAAGTTCCCTCAGCCCTCATATTTGATACATACTGAATGCTGACAAGGGCAGCACATGAGTAGCAGGTGATGTGCAATGTCTGAGGAGCACTGATCCTGAACTAAGTCTGGGGTTCTGGGTGGTGGTCCATATCACAGAGACAGGCTGACAGTATGGGAGGCCCAGATATGGCTCCCAGATAGCTAGAGAATGGTCATGGGGTTTGGCTGGATTGTGTGGATTTCTGTCAGAGCCTTTCTGCTGAAACTTTGGGGGTGCATCTGGGAGGGTCCCTGGCTTTGAGCTGCTGAAGCTGCCCTGGGTGATGGCATTCAGAGACTAGTGATGGGGGCCAGGGTGTAACTCAGGGGTGGAGTGCTTGCCTGGTACATGAAAGGCCTTGGGTTTGATCCGTAGCACTGCAACTAGAAATGTGGGCATGACCCTCAGCTCCTATGGGCCTTTAACAGCCACAGAAACCAATGATGCCTGGTCAACAAAAGAAAGCTGGACAGAAGAATGGCAAGGGGTGGGACTGGGTCTGTATGTGAAGGTCTCAGGGGGAGGGTTCTTCCCTTGGCTTTCTCTGAGAGACACTCAACCACACATGCCAAAGGCAAATGCAGCAAGATGCTGCCTTGGGTGTACCAAGGACAGACATGGCCTTTGGAGGCTCCTGGAAGAGGAAAGATGCTGTCCTGTAACTGATGATCACAAAAAGCAGAGTTTCCTGGCCCCTCCTCGCTCCCTTAGGCATGTAGGAAAGGTGACCTTCATGTCTACACCGAACAATCAGCCTAAATCTCTGGGGGCAAGCATACCTGGACACCAAATGTTCCAGGTACAGGAGCTTTAATAGAACTCTGACTTCTGTCCTTTCCCAAACACACCAAAGTCTGGGCTACCTGTAACAAGGCCCCATTTATATAATTTTCTGTGATTTTTTTTCACTGTACCCACCCTGTGCCTGCTTGCTAAAACCAAGGGAAACGTGTGTGTCCCTGGTAGGGTGACCAAGAACTTTGTCCCTACATACCCCGCAGATTGGTGTTTGCGTTCTTTCCTGTTCAACCTGGAATACCTTTGAGACTGAAAGTCTGTGAGACCACAGTCATGCTGGTCATCAGGCACAAAGTAGGGCTGTCCTGCAGGGGTGCTGATACTAAACATGGAATAGATACTCAGCATGCAGGCCAGCTGGCCTATGGTCTGTCACTGTTGCAAGGGCCAGATATGTCTACATGCAGCTCTGGCACCAACAGCTTCCCTTGCTGCCTGGAACTACAGCATCAGACAGGTGACATCCAAGGGTTCAATTGAGTGACCTCTGCCTGCCCTCTGGGTAATATATGTCCTGCAGCTAGGGAAAGTGGGACAGCTAGAAATGTGGGCATGACCCTCAGCTCCTATGGGCCTTTAAGGATTTTATGTGCCTGGCCTCTGTCCCCAGAGGGCCTCATGTTTCAGCACACCTGATGTTTGTGGCATATTTAGCTTGATTAGTAGCATTTCATTCTTTTTTGAGGGATAGTTTCACTAAGTAGGCCAGGCTAGCCTTGAATTTATGATCCTCATGCTTCAGCTTCCCCAGTGCTGGGATTACATCCACTACTATAACTGGCCAGTATTTTGAGGTTTATAATATCAGTCTATGACCCCCTGTGCCAGGGTTCCTCTGGAACTCCAGACTCTTCTCTAAGGCTGTTGCTGCTGGATCTGCTGACCAAGAGAGGTGTGAGCGAGGGCACTGTGGACTGCTTAGTGGCTCCCAAATGGCAACCCTACTGGATGCTTTCATTTCTAAGATCATGGTCTTTGTGGGCACACAGTACTCTTTCACAGTCCCTCTGTCTCTGGTGCTTGTCATACCTGGCACAGCTACCAGGACCTAAGGAGGGGGCACCATCTGCACAGCTGCCTTTCTTAACTTCCTTTCAGCTCCTTCTAAGGAGGTGTAACTCCGGCCTCCATCCCTAGGGCTTCTCTTCTAACTCTCCCTGGAGGTTGTACTCCACGTTCCTGGCAAGTTCTCTCATCCCTGACCCTTGTACCAAGGTTCCCTTTATCCTCCACCCCATCACATACAGGGCATCTCCATGCCAAAATAAGCTATCCCCTTGAAGGCTACATTGCCCACTAAGGGTTGCTGCTCAGCAGGTTCCTGGTTCCTTCAAGGGCACCTCTTCCCTTACAAGACTGGGGACTGTAAAGACTTCCTGCCCTCTTTCCCTCCTCTATGGTCCTTAAGCTACTTCTGCTCCCATAGGCAGCTCTGCCCCTCTCTTTGCCCTCCAGGCCACACAGTAGAATATTGTTTCCTTGCTTGCCTTCTGTCCTGTGTGCTCATTATTGCTAACTCCCCAGGATTCAGCTCTGCCAGGAGTCCAAGCTCTGATGTGTAAGCATCGGCATGATAGCTTCACATCACACATCTGTGCAGTCCTTCCTGGAGCCAGATACAGGCATCTCCCATACTATCTGGGAGGAGCAACAGAGATACAGAGACTGAGAAAGAGCAGTACATGCCAGCAAGGGGCAGAGGTCATGGAAATTTAGAGATGTTTTCCTGGAAGATAAGGACATGTGATCTGGGCCTTACAAACAATAGTGGTCTTTTGCAGTGTTGATTTTAACTGTGAAAAATGGGAAAAAAATCTAACATTCAGCAGAAGACTGGATCAACACACCATGAAATACTCTCAAATGCACTGTGGTTTAATGGACCTGCACTGGCTGAATCTCAAGGACCTAATATTGGATGAAAAATTCAAACTGAAGAGTAATACACACAGCAGGTGCCACAGAATAGTGCTATGCTCTGATGTGTATGAAGATGTTTGTGGTAAGAGTAGAAACACATACATGGGAGCAAAAACTGCCAGCTGCACCCCGGGTAGGCGGGGGAGCAGGGAGCATTGAGTTCAGCCATGCTCTATTCTTTGAAAGCAGCAAAGGGAGGGATGGAAAGCAAATATGGCACAATGCCAACATCTGTCCAATGTGGGTGATAACAGGTGCACGGGTACTTGTTAAATCAGTTTCTTCTCATTAGTGCATTATTAGTAGCTAAATATTCTAAAAGAAGTTCCAGGAACAAGTGAAAAGGGAGGTGGTACTGTCTACCTAGGCTGAGCACTCAAGGCACAGGTGGGAGAATGAGGGCTCCTGTAGGGCAGGGCCAGGGCAGGGCTGCGGGGATGAATCGTGGGGGAAGATTTGTGTATTTATAAAGAACAGGGCATAACATCTTTCTCCTGGATATTTGTCCTCTCCTCCAAGTCTGCCACTTTCACAACATTCCTCAGTCCATTCCTAGAGCAGACTTTGGCTGGTTGATTTTCAAGTGGGGAATTTATTCCTTCCTGAGATGGGTGTTTATGTATGGCACTGACATATGCCTCAATTACATTCATGCATATCAGTTCACTGTGTCTCACTATAGGGTCTAGATCAGCATTACCATCCCCAGTATGTCCACTTACAGATGAAGAAACAGAGGCGCAGAGAGGTAAGAGATTTGCCTGAGGTTACACAGCTAGTAAGAGTCAGAGTTTGGATTTGAACCTGGGCTATCTGGCACCAGAGCCTGTGCCCTCCTTGGAGCACAATATTGCTCCTCATATTCCAGGCACTGTTCTGGGTGCCACAAATACAGTGGGTACAGTTGAAAGTGCCCTGCATTCACAAAGCTGCGGGGCCAGTGACAGGAATGAAACGCCAAACCAAGAGAGGGCATCCAACCTACAGAGGTTTAATGGGACAGTCCAGACAGAGGAAACAAGTGAGAAAGCCCAGAAATAGGTACAGGCTTGGCAAGGAACCCACTGAGTGTAAGGGGCAGGGCATGGGGAAGTGGCCCCTTACAGGAGTGGAGTTGTATGCTTGGGACACTGGCAGTTCACATCTGTGATCTTAGTGTTAAGTACTAAAATACTAACAGTAATGCTAATAGTGACTTATTTTGGTTTGGACAATAACACATTTGAAGGCTACTCTCTCTAGGTCATAGAAAAGAATTTGTTTCTAGGTTAGTAGGAAAGCACCGTGGGACAGAGGAGAGTGACACAACTCATTTATGATGTAGAAAGGTCTCTGTGGCTGTCCTGTGCCGAAGACCTGCAGGGGATCAGGATGAAGGTCCCTGTTTCTTCCTCCACTCAGTCTCACAAGGTGCAAGCATGCAAGTGTGGGAAAGGCAGGGGAGGCACTGCAGAGGTTACAACTGTGGCAAAGTGGCTCAGAGCAGACTCAGAAATGCTATCCCTTTCTCCTCTCTGTGCTGGTCCAGCCCAGCATCCCCAATCTTCCAGAGCTTCCAGTGAGACTTCAAGGGGTGTTGGGGGATCCCTCTGGAAATGACTATAAACAATATTAACTGTGTACTCCAGAGCTTCTCCTACCCTGTTCTTTTTATCCCCAAAGTTCCCCTCCTTTAACCCCTTCAAGAGGAGATTTCACAGATATCAGTGGGGCCAGCTGAATGAACCCTAATGGAAACAGCAGAGGCCTCTGGTGTCTACTGAGGTACAAGGTGTCTGGCCTGGGCCTGAATCTATGTGGGTGCACCCACCATGCATCTACTTTTGGACAGAGGTATATGAAGGAGTCACATACACTGCTGAACACATATTACAGGGAGACCGTTGCTGAGATTTCCACCGAACTAAAGCAAGGCCAAGGTTTGTAACAGTGGCAAAGGGGAAGGCGTGAGTTAGAAATCCACCAAAATGACACTTGCAAGTACCAAGAGCCCCTCATTCTCCCTCTACAACACAAGCGACTAAGCAGTAGCTCAATCAATCTTCCACAGTCAGGCTGAGCGTCATCTAAGTCTTCCAGGACAGGCCAGCCACGGACTTGGAAGAGGGTAAGGGAAAGCAATGGTGGGAGGGGGTCACTCACCCAGTGGCAGGACGAAGAAGAACGGGAACCAGCAGAGCACGAAGACTCCCACAACGATGGCCAATGTCTTCGCTGCCTTCTTCTCGCGGGAAAACTTGAGTAGGCGCACAGAGAGCGAGCTGCGTAAGGTGTGGCCCTTGGTGCTCCGCATTCCGTAGGCCCTGTTGGCGCCAGTGGCTGCACCGCGACAGTGGATTCGTAGCACCACCTCCGAGGCCTTGCCCCGCTCCCGCTTGACGCCGGCCTCCAGGCTGCGCGTGGTGCTGCGCGCGACCACATACACGCGGCAGTACATGACCACGATGACGGCCATGGGCAGGTAGAAGGAGCACACGGAAGAGAAGACCGCGTAGCCCACCTCCTCGGTGATGCCGCAGAAGCGCTCATCCGGGGGCACTGGCTCCTTCCAGCCCAGTAGTGGTCCCACTGACACCACCAAGGCCACGGCCCAGAGCAGGGCCAGGATGGCTGCGGCCTTGCGCTCCGTCATGATGGCTGGGTACTTGAGCGAGTGGCGCACTCCCACGTATCTGTCCACGGAGATGGTGCAGAGGCTCAGGATGGAGGCGGTGCAGCACAGTACGTCCACCGCGGCCCACACGTCGCAGAAGGCTCGACCGAAGGCCCAGAAGCCCAGAACCTCCATGGTGGCCGAGAAGGGCAGCACGGTGGCGCTCAGGAGCAGGTCGGCCACGGCCAGGTTAACGATGAAGTAGTTGGTGACCGTCTGCAGGTGGCGGTTGCAGGCTACCGAGAGGATGACAAGCAGGTTGCCCGCCACAGCGGTGAGGATGAAGGCTGCCAGGAAGACTCCCACGCCCACGCCCTGCGCGCTCACCACCAGCCCTCCGACGGCCGCCGTGCCGTTCACCTCGCCGCCGCCGCCCGCTGTCCCCGGCTCCCCGGCGGAGCTTCGGTTGCCCTCGCCGCTGCCGGTCCCCACCACAGCGCCACCGCCGCCGCTGGTCCCCGGCACTGCGCCCACCGCCGGGCCCTCCGAGCCCCCCGCACCGCTCGCGCTCGCACCCGCGCCCGCGCCGGAGCCCCCAGCGCTGCTGTCCGAGCGGGGTCCTTGGAAAGTAACGCCCAGGAGGTCACGGAAAGTCATCTCACCGTGCGGCCGTCGGGGCCCGGGTTGAGGCACAGCGCGAGCGACCGGCAGGGAGGGGGCCGGTGGGCATCGCCGCGGGGCAAGGGACCAGCCCCGAGCCGCTCCGTCGGGGTCCTGCTCAGGTTTCTGCGACGCGGAGCGCGCGGCAGCTGGACAGCGGAGCTGCGGGGTCCGGGCGGCGGCCACAGCTCCCGGAGGCGGGCGGTGGGGGCGGATGGAGGAGCTGGGCCACGCCGCACACCCCTGTCGGAGCTGGGCCAGCGAGCGGGTGGAGCGGCGGCTGCGGGACCCGCGGTGGAAGCGGCGGCCTCTGCGGCGCACTGCACTGTGCGCGGTGGGGGCGGGACGGAGGAGGGGCGGCCGGCGCGGAGCAGGGCTGCGCGGCCAGCTGCGGGGTCCCGAGCGCTAGCGCGCATTCGGGTCCCCCTGCCTCACCGCTGGCGCTCACGACCTCCCTCGGTCCGCGCTGTCCCCTCGCACCCCGCCCCCTCCGCGGCTCTCCAGGACTGCCCCCCAAGCCCCCGCCCCCGTCCTCTTTGTCCCTACCCGTGTCTGCCTTCCTCCCTTCCTCTATCTAGGCTCCCAATCACTCTTTGCCCTTGCACTCAGGGAGCTTAGAAGGTGCGATTCCCGGTCCCGGCTACCGGCTCCCAGCTTCCGCCGCCAGGGAGCAGCAAGCACCGGGGCTCTGTGGGCTGAGGAATTAGCGTGCGGCTCCCCTGTGGAAGACTTCCTGGATTGGACCTTCTTTCTCTGGGGCTGCTGATCAGCCCAGGGTCTCAGCCAGTCCCCAACCCCCTTCAGTGCGATGGCGGCTTGGAGACGGCCCGGAAAGGGTCAAGATGCCCGGATTGGCCTGGGTTTAGGACCAGGTGGTGTGGCAACAACTTTCGAACCTTGCCCACGACTCTGAGTAAAACCTACTTTGGCTCTGTTACTTTACTCTGCATAAGAGATCGGAATAAATCTTTCTATTGCTACTCTAAAAACGTGGCCTCCCTCTGGGCAGAGAGGGTTAAGTGCTGGAGGGTGGGAAAGGTCACTTGGCAGGGTGCTTAAAGGGGAGGGAGCAGAGAAGTCTGGCTCCAAATATCCAGGCCCTGCCCGTATTGGCCTTTGGATTTCTTTGTGCCTCAGTACCTCATCTGTGAAATGAGTAAGAATCCTGTCTAGCGCTACGGGGTTTACTGTGTTGGGGCCCCAGACCAACGCCTGTGTTTCTCAGCTGAGTGAGACATGGTAGGGCAATGTCTGAGCCAGGAGAACAGAGGACAGAGGGGTTGTGTCACTGCTAGGCTGCAGAAACACAAGGGAAGAGGAGGAGTCTCTCAGTGACTAGCTGGACTAGTAGGGAGAAGCACAAGATCATATATTTAGCCACATCAGAATATGCAGCTGCTGTCATGCAGTAAGGTGCTGGGCTGGGCTCCATAGGTGACAGAGGAAGGGAGGCTGCAAGGAGCTTAATGCCACTGCTGAGGTGCTGGAGGAGGGTGGCTTGAGCCACACAGGGAGATGAGTCTGTCCTGTTGTCTGATAGGCAATGAAGAGTATCAGCTTCACCCCACTTCAGGCTTGAGGAGGGGGGAGTCCTCAGGTCTGCAAGAGAATTCTGGAGATTCTAGAGCTTTATGTAAGGAACAGGAAAGACAGGAATTGTCAGTTTCCTGAAACAGCTTATCAGACATTCAAATCCAGGAAGGGCTTGGAAACATGACTGCTGCCAGGGGCAGAGAGGGGACTCGTCTCTCTCTTAAAGGAGGTCTCAGCAGTGGAGGGACTGGAATGAAGAGCAACACCACCCCAACCAGGCCACCTACACCCACATCTTTGCCTGGATGACTCATAGGAACTTCAGATTAAATGTTCTAAACTAAACTCACCATCTCCAACACTGAAATCTTCAACTTGCTTGGTTCCTTATGAATACGGAAGCATTGCCAGCAGTTGCTATAGCTAGAAACTTAAATCCCTCCCCTAATTTGTTCTCTACTCCAGATTCAGTCAGTTCTATAGATGGTTTTTGCTTACTGGACTTTGTGGATCTCCTGCATTTCACCCAATCATTCATCACTCTTCAGTCTTCATTTCTACTCTGGTAATGCCTGCCCCAAGTCTATCATGTGAATCACCCTAAATATGATTATTTTGCTCTTAAAAAAATACTTCTTCGATGGTTCCTCAGTACTTTGGGTGAAGTCCCTAGCACATTGGTGCTGTGGAGCTGAGCTCTTTCTTGTTTCTTTTCTGTTGTTGTGGTGGAAGTAATGGTAGAACTCCAAGTACCTAGTATGGGAGGTGATTCCAATAAGCATTATGAGGTACTTGTTCCTTTAAAAGGGATACTGCTCTGAGACTGGGGCAAATGGGTTCGTGCTAGGATTTTGGGCGGGGCTATAAACAAATCAATGTGCATCAGATTTGTACCTGAAATGATTCTCACAGATTTGTGTTTTAGACTCTCATACAGGAGTAGACACTGTCCAGAAGGTCTTGCTCTTCCACAAAGACTAGAGCATTCCCCGTACCAAATCCATGGAGCTAGCAATTCAGACTCTCAGATACATCCCCAGTAGATTTCTGACCATGTCCCTCTAATTATCTTTAGGAGCTTCCTGAGAGAGTGGACTTCAGGGAGAATTAACATGTGGGGCTGAGAATGTAGCTCAGTGGTAAAGTGCTTGCCTAGCATGTGCAAGGCTTTGGATTGATCTTCAGGACTTGTCTCTCTCTTTCTCTCTCTCTCTCTCTCTCTCTCTCTCTCTCACACACACACACACATGCTCTCACACACACACACACACACAAACCATGCCATTTTTAAAAAAATGCTCTTTGGATCAAGAATTTTTTCATTCTTCATTTCTTCCCTACCTTGACTTGGACTGTGGAAAGTGCCATGCATTGATGCTTTAGCTGAAGAGCACTTATACTAGGTTTATTCCTTGTTGCAGATGGTGGAAGAAGAATGCGTAAGACCAATGATGGCCTCAATTGTGATGTGATGTGAACTTTCCTCCTCTCCCATCCTGTCAACCATTCATTGGCAGAGCTGAGCCCTTGGCAGGCAAAGTACGACCTGTAGATGCAGAGCCTCCTGGTATATAAGCTGTGCTAGGCACTCTTACCCAGGAAGAAAATACTAGGTTTTTTTTTTTTTTTTTTTTTTTTTTTTTTTTTAACTCTATGATCTTCAGCAAATCTCTGGGCCCAGTTGCCTTCTTGATAGCACAGGCCAGTAGACCTAGACTAGAGCAGAGCAAAGCATTGGAACTTATGGTTCAAGTTAAGTTTTCACAGAAAACTAGCACCACCTGTAGCTCTTGGAGGAGTGTTGGCTGGATTAGGGGCAAAGTCCCAAGTCTGATCCTCTGGGCTCTCCCCTCACGCCTCACCTCCTGTTCTTGAAGCATTCTCATGGCATTGTGAGCTCCAGGAGCCCCATGGGCAAACTGCTAGATCTGCGATCCCTGGAGACTCTGCTGACCCTTGGGTTCCTTGTAACCCAGCAGTATGGCTCTCAAAGTAAGATGGAAGGCCAATGCCTGCGTCATGAGCATGGCATGTCAGAAACATAGACACATTTGTGTCTTTCTACAATGTCACAATTTATTGAGTAATCAATACAGTTGCAAGCCATGCTAGCTTAATCGATTGCAATTTGCCAAGTAATCCTGATTTTGCTTGATAGCTGGCCATTGTCAATCATCATTGGTGTGTGTGTGTGTGTGTGTGTGTGTGTGTGTGTGTATGCAGATGCCAGAGATTGACATTGGAATGTCTTCATTAATAGCTTTTCCACCTTATTTTTTGAGACAGGGTTTTCCACTGAGACTAGACACACTAGACTGGCTGGCCAGCAAGCTCTTGCCTCTGCCTCCCCAGCGCTAGGATTTCAGGTATGTGACACCACTCTTGCTTTTACAGGGTGCTAGAGAGCCTAACTCAGGGCCTTATTTTGTACAGTAAATATTTTACATACTGAGCCATTTCCCCAGCCCCCAATCACTGGTTATTTTATTTCAATCATTAATTACTGAAAATTCTTGGTTTACATATTACATTTCATACTATTGTGCTACAGAATGACTGAAAGGGTTCAGAGAGTTGTTCAAAGAAGCTGTTCTGAAGTTGGAAGCAGAGAGCTGATACAGTCCAAAGGAAAAGTCTGTATGGGCCTTACAAACAGTAGGCACAGAAATGTCTAATTCAAGTTTGATGGCAGACTGTTGGAGGGTCAGTTTGAACTGGCTGAGTGTCATGGGCAGGAGAAACTGCTCTGGAGCTGGATCCCAGGGACAGAGGCAGAAGTCCTTCACTGTGTGGTTCTCTGGGATGAGGCTTTTGATGAGTGACCAGGTGGCTAGCCAGAGTGCCTGTCTCATTTCAACTTAGGGCACTCTTTTTCTCTTGATGTCAGACATAGCTTGTTTTATTAATGTTTTTCCACTGATCCAATGACTAAAACACTTAGAAGAGTAGATGGGAGCACTCCTTCTTTTATAGTCCCAGGTGAGGAAGTTATGTTTGGTGTGATTGGTAAACTCATGAGTCTGGGGTTTCTGATATGATTTAGTTTATTTTCAGGTATCATTACTTATTGGCATAAATTATTTGTTTGTGGTACTGGCAGATGATTGTTACTTGTGTAAACAAGACCTGGAGTCATTTTTTCTTGTCACTTGGACTCAAAATGGGGTAACTTCATGTCAAGGCTGCTGCTTTATTCATTGGAGGCTAGCACAGCTGGAAAGCTACTATTCCATGTGACACACAGTATTCCAGAGCAGACTCAGCCTAATTTCCTGAACCTGCATCTGTCCTTCCCCCCATTGTTAGATACCTTTAGAATGACAGTGAAGAAAAAGGAATGACTTGTTTCACAACTGAGGCACTGCTACCTAGGTTGACAAGTTCTGGACATCAGCTCCAATGAGCAGACATGAAGGAACGCTGTAAGGAACTCTACAAGAAACTCTATATAACTCTCTATAAGAAGTCCTGTGGAGTCTGAGGTATTGTGAACCAATGCTTCCCCTGTGGAGATGGTACAGACTGGTTGGCAAGATGCTAAATGGCAACAGGGTTGATAGAAAAGACACTTATGGGAGATATATCTCATTTGTTGGTACCATTTGGTCAACCTGCACTGAAACATCATCATCCACAGACACCATTCATTCATTTCTTCATTTGTTCATTTGCGACAAGTTAGATAAGCAGCAGAAACATGTCAGGATCTGTTCTGGGGACTGGGGATACAATTTTGGACAGAGGGAAGTTCATGTTGTCCTGGCTTGCATGCAAATAACA